TTCTGTGTCTTCGGCGTCTTTCGTGCCCCCGTCTTCGGAGTCTTCGGCCCCAGCTCTGGGACAACCTTTGAAGGCTGCCAAGAACTCCGCGTAGCTGCTTCACCTCCACTGGCGTCGGGGGATCTGCAGGAGTCTGCCGACGTCCGAACCAGCGCTGTCTGGAGGTTCTCGTGGTACTCCTGCGCGGACAACTTGATGGAACCGTTCGATCTGCTTTCCACAGTAGACGAACTTGCCGGTCTCCTGTGTTCCAAACCCAAGTTCGTTGCCAAGATCATTTAACGCGCTCTTGGCCAAAGCGGGTCTGCCCATGAGCAGGTCTACCAAAGCCGCATCTGCGGCTGAACGTTCCCAACCACGCTTGAGGACCGCCTTGTTCACGTGCACCTTCTTGGCGAATCCGAGAGGCCGAAGATGCCGTAGTCCACCTTTGCCAAGACGGCTCGGTGACAACATTCTGAATGTAGAGCTCACGTTCCCCAGGGGCAAAGGTCTCGGGTCTCTTCGCATCGGCGCTCCATTTCGAACATGCAGTGTAGAAGAAGCAAAAAGTGTTGTGATGCTGCGGCGCATCTGCGCGAGCTGCGTACCCGGAAATGTCCTTGAAGCCCGGCGCAATGAGACGTCCACTTGCAAACACAGATCGTGGTTGCTGAGGTGTCCTCACCCCATCGCGCTTGTCTGTAGTCACAAGGCCACATTTTGCTAAAAGTGGCTTGGCCCCGCTGCTGATAAATTCTTTGTATGGCAGCATATGGAACTGAGGGATCTGGCCAGGGCTGACCTAGAAGAAGCCTCGCAAAGCTCGCAAAAATCGAGGGTTTGGCTGCTGCTGCCTCTGCGAATTGGAGCTGGCCTTCATAAAACGGCCACGATGCCTTTTTGCCAAAAATGGCTTGGCCCGGCCGAAAATACATTCTTTGTGCGGGCATGATATTTTACAAAGCGCTTGGCAGTAGCCAATTGGCTGCTTTTGCCTTTGCGAAGGATGGCCAAAACAGCTGGCGCCCTAAAAGTGGCTTGGCCCGGGGCTGATAAATTCTTTGTGTGGCATGATATGGAATTTGTCATCCGTTGCTCAAATTTAAGCATCTGGTCATTTGCTGCTTCTTGCTTTGTAATTGGGCCTGCCCTTGATAAAGTGGCCACTGGCTGGGCCAGGCGCTTCCCATCTTGGCCTTAACAAATTAGCCAGTGGCAGCCCTGGTGACGAAATTGCCATTGGTGCTGGCCTGATGAAGTGGCCATCGGCGCCCTTGATAAAATGGCCATTGGGCCGCCCTTGATAAAGTGGCCATTGTGGCTGGCCTTGATAAAATTGCATTTGGGGGTTTGCACCTCGCTAGAGGAAAGACGGACCGGCCAAAAAGTGTAGGTTGTTGGGTCTCCACCTTTCTAGAGTAAGGGCAGTACTGCCTAGGGCAAGTTAAGCAGCCGAGCTTGCTTCGGAGACTTCTCCTCAGCTGATAAGACGATTGGCGCTCCGCTGGCGCTCCGGCAGCCTCGCCCATATGGGGTTGGTGGGCTCGGCTTAGACTTTAGGGTTTAGGGTCCGCAGGAAGTTCACCCACCAGGGCGCGCGTTGCGGCTTCGACCGCATCATCGATAGCATCTCTCCGTTCTTCAGCTCAAAAGCGCTAGCTGCGTGCACATGTTCTCGCGCGCGCTTGGCCATTTGGCCATTGAAGCTCACGAAGCAGCTCGCGTGGCCTTCAAATACGAGTAGTAGAGCAGGTCCATGCCAAGGTTTCAAGTCAATGCGCTTCTTGCTGGGGAGGTCTTGTTTTTGTAGCACGCCTGGCCCGAGATTCATTGTGGTCTGTCGTGAATGGGCCAACTCACCTCTGCAAGGCAGTGCAGAAATATAGCACTTCCTTGTTGCAATCTGCCTTGCCAGATGAGGTGTCTGTTGAAAGAGTTGCCAAGAACATCTCCGTGTAGTCGGGGCTGCCTACCCAGCGCTGCTTGGTCCGGCGTCACTCCAGCATCGTTAATGTCGTTGTTGTAGCGGTTGCCTCCTGAACGGCAAAGTCCATCGCCTTGTGGGCGATCCATTCTGCCGTGGCGCTTATGGTGAACGCAGCTCCTCAAAGGCCCAACTAACGAACTCCCAGCCCTGGTCCACCATCAACGCTCTCGAGGTCCGAAGATCGGGAACCAGCGCTTCACCAGGAAGTTCTCGACCGAGCGGCGCTCTTGTTGGGTAGCACCTTGGCCATTTGAAAGCGGGAAGCCCAATCGACCGCGCGCACAATGTAGCGCTTGGCGCCAGCAGGCATCATGAGCCTCCAGCGAATCGATGTGCGCCTGATCGGAGACATCCTTGAGGGCCAAACTCAGGACTTCCGGGTCGCCTTGGCCCAAGAAGTTGGGCCCAAATGGCCGGCCCACGCACACAAGTCGTCGGCATGTGCTTCATGCACGTTGGCACCGAGCTGCGCGTCTCGCAACGTGTTCGTGTCGGCGCGCGCCGCGTCGGGCCGCGCGCTCGCGCGGACTGCTGCACCGCTGAAGCAGACGAAGCTTTTGCGCTTAAAACGCGTGCCGTTTCGGGCTTCGTGTTTCAGCCCAGACTACAGCGCGGCTTGAGCAGACGCAAAGAAAAGGCGCTCTTGGAAGGAGGGAGAGTTGAACTTGAAGCGCTCGTTGGGAGCTTTGGAAAGGGAACAGAAAAACAGCTGAAAGCAGCACACAAAACCAAAAGAGAGAAAGACAGAGAGAACAAAGACAACAGAGAGAAGAGAGAGAGAGAGAGAGAGAAAGAGAGAGAGAGAGAGAGAGAGAGACAGAGAGAGAGAGAGAAACAGAGAGAAACAGAGAGAGAGAGAGAGAAAGAGAGAGAGAGCGAGGAAAGAAAGAAAGAAAGAAAGAAAGAAAGAAAGAAAACAAAGAAAGAAAGAAAGAAGGAAAGAAAGAAAGAAAGAAAAAAAGAAAGAAAGAAAGAAAGAAAGCAAGAAAGACGGGGAGACAAAGAGAGAGAGAGAGAAGCAGGCCAAGAACAGTTCTCCAAACTATAGTTGTTCACTGCTTTGAAACTTCCGCCCCCGGCTCTGCCGGACCTTACTTGTACGAACATGAGCAGTGTAAACATGCCTTCACATTCACGCATGGTTCTACCCATAGGTACCTGTAGATGTGTAAATGTACAACACGTGTGTAAGACTTTGTGTCTATTACACACACACTAACATTGTGTAAGTGCATGTCTGTGTGGGAGTAGCAACGGTTCGCAGGCTAACCCTGAGGCCCTGGCCGCGTGGAACTCTCCTTTGTGAACACCATCCACCACGACGGTCACCCCTTCCGGTGCAAAACCGCGAGTGCCCGTCACCTATGAAGATGAACGTGGAAGCCGCTGGCGCCAACAGCCATGGTCAAAAGAAATCTCCCGCTTTTGCGGAAAATTCAGCGAGTTCCCCATGTTCAAGTTAAAAAAAAGATGATCGCATCGTTCTGCTTTGTGGAAATATCAAGGCGCCAAACATGTGCTCACAGGACCCCGGGATCTGCTTTGCGGGGCCTGTCCCTTCCACTCCGGCTCCATCCCTTGACCCATGCGGACCCTGCTGCGTTTCCCGAAGGGCCGTCCCTAGCCTTGACTCTAAACTTTGTGAACCCCAAAACACGAAAAGGTTGGGCAACCACCGATGGTCCTATGCTGCTGTCAGCCGAGCTGAACCAGGTAAAGCTGAAAGCTGTTTGCCTTTCACAAGGGGACGGCGCAAAGGGCCCAACGCGGCGCTGACCCCTTGCAACTTGCGTGATATCAAAAGGAAACGTGCTTCATGAATCACCATCACATGCGAAAACTCTTCATTTCTGTTTTCTCTACTGGGAGGCAGAAGATGGGCCCCTAGAGACATGTGCCTCGTTTGTCATTTTCAGTCTCGGGAGGCCTTGCCAAAATCACGCTACCTTTCTTGGACCCTCACCCGTTTCCAAGCGCAGTGAGTGAATAGATTTCACGAGATGCGGGTAAGGCCAGCGGTTCTCACATTGTCACAGCGTGCCCGAAGAAAGCGGACAAGCCTCGCTTACAGCTTCATTTATCTGAGGGGGTGGAAAGTTACGTCTATGTGTCTAGTCTTCTCCGCAAGAGGAAACTGAAGCTACTCTGCAAACTCCATTTTTAAGACTGTGGAGATTCGTGATATTCAAACTCCGGCAGCTGCTTGCCTGCTTGTTCGCTGTCTTGTAAATGCCGGCATTCCATAGGCGTGTACCATATTTTGGCACGGGTGCGAAGCAACATGTTGGGGCCGTCCAAGCGTTAGTCCGACTGTTGCTCGCTGGCGTGTTTAACTACCTAACATGGGCGCGCCGGAACCACAACCAAGGGAATTACCAAGCCTTATCATCATCCGCAATCAAAACTGCCTGAGCAGTTTCAGGGCCCTTCGCTACAAAACAGAAAACGGCCAGGAACCTGGGAACCGCACTCCCCTCCAGGAGGATGAAAAAGTCATGAGCAGCCTGGCGGGCAAATTGCAAGGACAGAAAACAAGAGGAGAATGTGTTGGCTTGGAGCAACCCTCGTCAAGGCGCTCTGTTTCGGGGCTGGTTCATCAACGACACCCCGCAAAACATGCACATGTGTTCTTTTGGGAGGATAGCACGGTTGATCCATCAAATGTTGAGATCGACCCCCATACGCAAACATGTAGCGCCTTCCAAGCTTTTGAGTGTTTCGCTTGCAGTCGCATCTCATCCACTCCTTTCCTGCGGTCTCGAAGTGCGACTTGCCCGAACAATACCCCCGAACCATGCCCCGAACCAAACCCCCGTTTCGACCCGAACCATGCCCCGAACAACGCCCGCAGAGAGGGCTTCACACATAAAAGTTGCAACTTGCTTGGCCGGCTGGCCACTGGGCGGGGGCGGAATTGCGACCTCTCGTTGCGTGTGCTACTTTGCTGCTGCGGCTTTCGATCTGTGCGTCCTTGCTTTTGAAGAAGTCACGGCTTGCGAGCCAGTGCTGCGGAGGTAGTTGGACCACGACTCGTAATCCGCAGTGGTTCGATCAGCAAGCACTGTTGCCCTGTACCCGTGCGCGTTGTCTTCTTTTTTCCCTCCGCCCCTCTTTCCTTGAGGGGGGGACGGGGGAGGAGGCGGGGGGAAGCTTTCTCGCTCGCGGCGAAGAGAGGCATGACACGCGCGCTGTCAGTTTTGGCCCACATGTTCCTCTCCGAAGATGGTCGTCTGGCCTTAGGTCTGATCTTGGTTCTGCGGCGCGCTAGCTGTTCGGATTGCTTGCGTGGTCACTTAAGCCTCGCTCTGTTCTATTTCAACTCTCTCTTCAATGCGTTCAAGCACATTGCTGACCCGGTCCTGTCTTTTGTGGCTGACGTTGCGCTGCTCTTTGACTGTCTCGGACCTTGCTTTGGTCGCTGCGCTGCTTGGTTCTCAGCGGGCGCGCCTTGTCTCTTGTCTTCGCTCGCTGCCTGCTTTGCGGGCACCGGGTTCGGCCATGGCCGCCGGTGCTGCTGCTCCTGGCGCTTCGTCTCCAATTGTGTTCTCGGACGGGAACGCAAACTGGAAGATAGCTTGCAAGCAGCATTGCGGCTGCGGCATAGAGACGTTGCGCGTGCTCACCAAGCTTTCACGAAGTCAGCGTCGCAGACACATCGGAACCTGAGGAATAGGCCGGCGGTAGCTTAGCTTGAAGACCTTTTTGCCACCGAAGCTTGTCAGTAAGCGCTCGGGTGAGAATCCTGCGCGTCGCTTGACGTACGCTGAACTAGGTTGTAAATTTCATCTACAGCGAAATATAGGCCCGAGACCGATAGCAAACAAGTACCATGAAAGAAAGTTGAAGAAAAATGAAACGGACTTTAGTGCTTGAAATCGCAGTGAGAACGAAGCGCGCAAGCCCCAGCAGACCTGATGGGCGCGTTGGGTTGCGTGCCAGGAAGGGTCGCGGGAAGCCCTTTTCTGCCTCCCGCTTTTCCTGGGCCACCGCGGTGTTGCGTCGAACAGCATTTTGTGAATCAAAGGGCTCATGTGGCCGTAGCTTCAGTGGGATTTGCAGAAAGAATAATTGGGCCACTTCAAAGCATCATCTCCAGGGGGCGAAGCTGCTTGCAAGCCTAACTCCACTGTTGCACACCCCAACTATTTCTCATAGTAAGGATTCTAATGCTTGCAAGAATCCATGTGGGGACTTCCCGTTGGAAGAAGTTATTTGGCCCCATCCCGACTCTATCTGCCAGCAAGCCGCAAACTCACCTGTTTGGAAAAAACAAGCGGGCGAGCCAGAACCCGAATCAATTCGCACCTGCCCCTTTGCAAGCGCCTGTCCCCAATTCGCACCTGGCCCGCTTCGAGTTGCACCTAACTCGCGCCTCTCCACAGCCCCCTCCCATTCGCTCTCGCCCCTTTCCACTTCGCACCTGGCTCTTTTCAAGTTGCGCCTGCCCTTCTCGTGTGCCCCTTTCTACTACGCGCCTGGCTCTTGTCAAGTTGCGCACCTTTTTTTTCGCGCGCCCCACCAAAATTGCACCTGCCCCTCCGTTGGCAAAGATTTGTGCTAAGCCGCCTCTGTTGCGCCAGCACACCAGTTGCTTCGAAAGCTTGCTGCCAAGAAGTCGTCGGCAAGACGGACGCAATTGTAGAACTCACAGTTTTCAACCACTGCTGCGTTGTCACAAAGCCATTTGCAGAGGCAGCTTTTTGCCGCCGCCACTTCTCCCGGAACGCGGCCTTAAACTTCGAGAACAGGTGAGTGTCGCACGGCTGCAAGTCTCCTGTCATGTGGCCTGGCAAGAAGCAGAGGCGAACTCCACATCGCTTGGCATGAGCCACAATCGAGGCATCAAGGTGACATTGAGCCACATCAAGCAGCAAGACTTCTCTCTTGTCGCATTCCCCAGCGATTTCGCAAGTACAGACAAATACCGCCGCATGGACGCGTGGCAATTCCACGCCAACTTCTGCCTCCAGACACGCACATTGGCAGGGAGTTCCCCCAATTCTCGCGCCTGCAACTGGCGCAGAATTTGGGGCAGTCTGAGCTGCGCCTCTACGTCGTGCATGATGCCGGCCATGTAGGTCACACAACTCCGCCTGTCTTGCACTGGCATGCCGCACGATGGCTGTTTCGTCCATGTTAATACTCAATTGTTGCACGCCGCATGCCATTGATGTTCATCTCTGAGCCCTGGGCATCTGAGATCATGACATTGGGATCAAAAGAGGTTGTCCACATCCTGCCAGTCTCCTAGGCAACAAGGATACATCTGCTCCTGAGGTAAGAAGAACCCAGTCTCCATCCGCACCTGACCTTGGGCTAAGGCCTACCACGCACACATTTTCCACCTCTGCAGCCGGCACCGATCCAGCCTTCTCCGGTAGAACCCATCAAGATTCCACTGGTCTGTTTCTTCTTCTTCGTCTCCAATCCAGATCATCTGATGCCAGCTCAAACTCCTCTGGAAAAAACATCTGGAGGTGTATTTACGTGGTACATCTTAAACTGCCGAGCACTCCGCGCTTGAGTGCTTGCATTGCTCATCCTTGATGAGCCTGCCACTGCGCTCGCTGATCCCAAACTCGCGGCAACTCCTTGCTGAGGTCCCAATCCTCCTCCATCACCTCCAGCTTCAGTGCCCAAATTGCCCACACAACCTGCAGGCGTCGCGGTGTAGGGGTTCACGATCTTTCCTGCTCTTGCCCTTCTTTCCTTTGCCTTTGCTCTTTCCCTTCTGATCCTTGCTCTTGCCTTTGCCCGTGCCAAACCAGCTGCTCCAGCCAGCGTTCCACAAGCCTTTGCCACCGTCACAACCTTTTCCTCCTTTCTTACCACCCTTCTCCGCACATCCGTTGGCGCAGGACCTTGTCCACCTCCTCCAGGCTGAACACTTTCCTGCAGCGGCTGAACTTGCCTCGTAACTGAATTGACATCCCATGTTCTTGAAGAACGTTCATACGCCAGGATCTGCTCTCGAGTTGATTCATAGGTTGCGCCATCTGGCAAAGCCAGCCCTGCTGGCGCACGCCGCATCAAACCACCTAACAATATTTCCCTATCAAATTCTTTGCAAGCTACCTGATACTCATTCACCAGTTGCTCAAGCGATGCAATTGATTCTGCAAACTCTTTTCACGTGAAAATGCTGGAAATCCTGCAATTGCCTGCGATAATGCTAATGACCGCTGCCTGGTAGAGGGAGAATACTGATTCAGTAGCATCTTCCACAGTCGAAATCCATTCCTGTCAGTCCCAAGCGATCGAGGTGACTGCAGCGCCGAACCTTTCAAATAAGAAGTAAGCACCGGATACAGCTTAGTGCTCAACGCTTTGACCTCGTCAGTAGCATCTGCCATGCTGATAACATCATCTGCTGGTTTTCTTTCCACTTCTTCGAGAAGGCCACTAACCCTTGAATCTGCATAACTAAGCCAGTTCATAAAGGCATGTCTCCAAGTCAACCAGGAATCTCCCAACTCGCGCCTGGCGCCTTTCAAATCGCACCCCCTGTTGAAAATTCACACCTGCATCCAATTTGCACCTGCGCTATGCCCGATAACTTGCGCCTGGCCCTTTCTCCCGGGCCTCAACAATTCGCGTCTAATTCGCGCCCGGCGCTTTCCAATTCGCACCTACCTCTTTTCAAGTCGCACCTACTGTGTTCCCAACTCGCGCCTGGCTCTTTTTTGGTCGCGCCTGCCCTTTTACACAATTCGCACATGGGCCCCCTTTCAATTCGCACCTGGCCCTGTCCAGAAAGCACCTGCGCCATGTCCTATCGCGCGCACCAATTTGCAACTGCTCCTTTTTCAATTCGCACCTCGCGCTTTCCAATTCGCACCTGCCCCTTTCAAGTCGCCGCACCTACTCTGTTCCAGCTCGCACCTGGCTCTTTTCACCTCGGCCCCACGAATCTGCCCCTTTTCAATTCGCGCCTGGCACTTTCCAAGTCAGCCGGGCTTGCCAATTCGCACCTGCCCCTTTTTAATTTGCACCTGGGTTTCCAATTTGCTTCATTTGTTGCAAAATTTGTGCTACCTGGGTGCTTCCTGGCAGACATTTGCTCATAGCGCGTTCTTCAGGGGATTGCGCGCAAATTTGGGTTCAACAAGCAGGCTTTGCACTTGCGGCGGATCGTTGAGTTGCGTGGTGCCCGCGCGAAAACATACAGGCAACGTGCCCAGGTAACCGTAAAAACACATGCGAAACATGCAACAAGCGAAACATGCAACAAGCGGCTGTAGTTCGCAAGAAACCTGTGGACATGTTTTTTGTGGAGCGACACTTTTGGGATCGTTGCGCGAAAATCAGTGGCCCGTGCGTGTTGTTTTCGCGACGCAAATCAATGTAACACTGGAAGGCCCAGGTCTGTTCTAACTCGCACCTGGCCTGGCCAATTCGCGCCTGCCCCTTTCCAACTCGCGCCTGGCTCTTTTCAGGTCGCTTCGCACCTGTCGTACCTGGCACTTTCGCTCCTACTCTGTTCTAACTCGCGCCAGCCCTATTCCAATTCACACTTTGCAGTCCGATTCGCGCCTGGCCCTATTCAACCAGACGTCTGCTTTGGCCATCATTCCTGCGAAAAGCGTAATCTTCTTCCGGATTCGGGCTCTGGGGCATTTAATCGAGAAGTCTTGCGCGAACTGCCGAGAAAGCCGAGAAATTGATGCATTTTGCTTTTGCTGCGAAGCGATCGTTACACTCCTTCCGCGCGAGTCGAAATCGTTGGAGCCTCCAGGGAGTCGCACGGACTCTGTTCTAATTCACACCTGCCCCTTTTCGGTTCGGACCTGGCTTTTGTCTTGGGCCCCTACGAGTCTTGGCAAAAATTTTGGGCACAGGAAGAACATGAAGGGCATCTGCAAAATCCTAAATAGCCACCACTCAAACTTCTGCACACTGTGTAAGGTTAGGATTGTGGCATTGGTAGCAACATTGTTGACACGCTTACATAAAACTGCCTTTTTCATCTTTGCAGGAAGAGCAGTTTGCCTGGTAAATGCGCTATGTTCAGTAACAAAATAATCCGCCGACCCCAAAGAGTGCGACGCACAGGAAGGGTGGTGTGTAAGTCTGATTCAAAATCATCATTATGGCGATCATCATCCTCATGCTTTTACGATCATCGTCATGATGGTCCTCATTCTAGTCATCATCACGGTGATTCTCACCTGGCCTGTGGCTCCTTGCTGAGGGATCTGGAGCCCAGCCTTTTGCGGTCAGACGGCGTGGACCAAGCAAAACACAGATGCCTGAGGGTAGCGATGCCATCAAAGGCGTTTGAGGCCCTGCCCCGTCCATCTCTCCACGTCCAAATGCTTTAGTCCTGCTTTCACTCGCATCGCGGACCCCGACTGCCTGAAAAACAGCAGGTGCAGCCCGAAGACTCGAAGACTGTACCAAAGCGTGTGGCAGGCGCAGCTCGAAGAGTGTGCCAAAGCCACAGCCCAAGGGCTGTGGCAGGTACAGCCCAAAGACCACCAAAGCCCAAATCCTGTGAGGTACAGCCCGAAGACGTACCAAAGCCACAGCCCGAAGGCTGCGCGCTACAAGAAGCCTTGAGAAACACGCTGCAAGCAAATCTGTCACGGGGGAGGTCGGGAAGTCCAGCGAGGTGCTGGAGGGCCTAGTGGCTCGTGAGCGCTTTCTGCGCCGGTGCTCACAGCGAGCTTCGGCTGTGCTGTTGCGTGGTTGGGCTGTTCACTGATTTGCTGGGGCTGTAGGGGTGGCCAGCCCCAGGGATTGCAGGGCCACCCCTTGCTCTGGCGACTTCTTCCAGAGATGTGACAAGAAAACACATACAGCTTCTTTTCTTTCTATGCGGTTCTTTTTGCCGGTCGATGTTTTTGATGCGTTTGCGGCACGCGTGTGGGGGCGCCAGCGGGACGTTTTGGCAGCGAGTGACGCTTTCGTTGCGCGCGCGCGTCGAAGGGAGCGCGGTGGAAGTGGTGCCAAGCGGCGCTGAGTCGTGGTACCCCCGTAGGCTGGAAAACGCCTCCTCCGCCCAGACAGCGCCCGGAATCACGAAAGCGTCTCGCAAATGTCATTTCGATCTCACAACTCCGCTTTTGCCAGGCACAGAGGCGCCGCGCGCTCTTTCCCAAAGCCAGTTCCAAAGCTAATTCCGGGTGCCTTCAGAGACCGCCGCGTGCATCCACCACATTCCGCTTTGCGTCAACTACTGGTTGCGCCTATCCCAATCTGCTCGAATTTCCGAATCTCACACAAGACACCTTCCGGCTGAGCCTGCTGGAGAGCTAAGAAGGAACTGCCAGCCTTTGGAAGTGAAGACCAAGCGATGACAGAAGAAGCTCCTTGCCGACTATGCGGTTGGTGGGACCTTCACCGATAATGAGCCACTCAAGGTCTTGAAAGTTGAATGCGAGGAGAGAATGGGGAACTTTGAAGAGCGCATCAAGCATCAGGAGGGACAAGGGACTGGCATCAAGACAAGCATCAAGCATCAAGCATCAAGCTCGAAGCATCGCATCAGGTCGATCAAGCATCAAGCTCCAAGACAAGGGGCTGGCTGAAGACCGCAAATTCCTTGGCTACGAAGAGCGCTACGAGAACGCATTGGGGACAGTTTGGGGACCATGCGCTGAAAACTGGGCCCTGAATCCACCAGCCAGAGCCAGCGTGTTCAGTGTCCAAGTCTTCCCGCGGTTTTTGGCGGACACCTCAGCTTCCAAGCTGTCAGGAGTGTGAACAAACTCGCGCTTCTGCTGCTGAGTGGAACACTGGTCAGCCACCTGCGGTTTCCCATCCTTCTTTAGTTTCGCCACTTCCTTTTCGATTCCGCTGCATCCCTTTTGAAACTGCGGGCAAGCTTCACGGGTGCGTTGTTTACTGGCAAGCATTTACAAGCAGTGGGCAGATTTGCATTTTTCAAGCAAGCCAGGCTGGCATCACTATTCTCCTTCTCACCAGCAGCAGCCGGTCTCTTTTCGCAATGGCTGTACATACCTTGGAACTTTCGTCTACTTTCTTGTAAACCCGTACTAACAGGTGTGGGAATTGTCCCAGGGAAGCCTCTTGGAAGCACCGGCAGCTAATCTAATAGTAAGTAGATATATAACTATATGTATATCGTTACCCGCGTGGCCTTCTGCAAGCAAGCAAGCCACCTGGCGGCGTCGAAGCAGTTGGGGAAGTTGGGCAGCTAGCGGCGCCTTCCGCAATCAAGCGTCTGCCAGACCGCCAACGTCTGCTGCGCCTTCTCCAGGCGAGCGTTTAAATGCTTCTCATGTCTGTGATGGACTAGCGCCTGTTTCTAGGGGGCAAGACAAGCCTGCCGTTTACAAGACTCAGTGTCTCGCGAAGAGCTCGAGGAGTCCTGATCAGGCGGTGAAGCTGCAGATGAAGGCCCACCTTCACCAGACGCTTCAGGGCAAGCGGGCGCTGCTCGTGTCCAGCCGTTGGCCGCACAGCCCAGGCGACACCTTGTTTTGTAAAATAGGTGGTCATAGCGGAACATCCGCGACGCTGCCTTCTTCAGGCAAACCCGCTCCTCCGCTCCGGGCATGGGTCGGTGCTGGATGGCGAGTTGGCGCAGGGAAGCCCTCAGAAATTGAGGCTAAGTGTTTTCTTTTGAGCCAATCGCTTGCGGTGACCCGCCTGGCTGGGCACCTTGTTGCTGCTCTGCCGGCCAGTTCTGACTTTGTTCTTCTGCAGCCCAGCTCTATATATCCACAAGCGTGGCCGCAGTCGCTAGTGCAACTTACTTGAGCTCTGCGCTGGCCGGCAGAACGTTGCAACAACCCGGCCTTTGGGGAAGCCAACCGGAAAGCCCAGACTGCCATGCGACACACGGTTTCCCACGTAAGCAGGTTTTGCGGCAATTAACAACCGCGATTGACAGCCGCTCGTGCGTCTTCCTTACGAAGGGATGGCACGGAAGCGAGCCACACTTCTGGGAATTCAGTGAAGGTGTTCGGCGGGGCGATGGTTCAAAGGGATATATGGGAATTTTCCTAAAATCAACGCCTATCACCCCTGCGTTTTACAGAAACACGTTAGGATAAATAACAAAGCAAGAGTAGAGCCCCAAACCTATGAGTCTGGTTGACATTGGCAGAAAATAAGGGTTTCCCACATGTCCCTTTGAAACATCCAAAAAAGGCAAAGGCGTGCCTCTCCCTGCTTCATGATGGTCTTGTCTGCCTGAAATGCGATTGGCAGGCTGAAGTTACGTCGAGCTTCCCGGTCCTCCCACGCACCCGATTGACTGGAACCGGATTTTGGTGCTGCGCAACTCTTGCCCCCTAAGCTACGACAAAGGACTGCCCCCAGGAAGAAGATACAAAGAAACCGGCATCTTGGGGCAGCTTTGCGCGGCAACTTGAGACGCAGAGAGTGCCTCTCACGCAGTCTTACTCGTCAGCCGATCCCTGGTCTGATGCGAAACATGAGTCACAACCAGACCCCGCAAAAAAAACGTGTCCCCTATATTACACAAGAAGCCAAGCGCATTTCGGGCCTCCGAGTCAGAACACTCCCCAATCAAAGCGCGCATTGATGCAGAGGTACCTAAGGAACGCCAACTCAAGACCCAGCCCACGGTGGGTTCAACGGTTGGTTTTGGTTTGGATGGGTTGGGTTGGTTTGGTTTGGTTTAGGCTTGGTTTGGCTGGTTATGGTTAGGGGCTGGTTGGCAGGTTTGGGTTGGTTTGGGCGGCTTTTGGTTTAAGTTTAGAGCTGGCCTAGGCTTGGTGGGGGAGCGCTGAGGATGCAGGAGTTTTCGGGCTCGTTCAGGTTTAGGGCTGGGTTGGTTTCGGGCTTTTTTCAGGCTTGTTTCAGGCTGTGTGAAGCGGGTTTAGGGCTGGTTCTGGGTCGGCTTAGGTTGGCTTAACGTGCTAGTTTAGGGCTGGTCTCAGGCTGGTTTAGGGTTGGTTTAGGGCGCCCGAAACCTCTAGAGGAGCACCAGAGGATGACTGGACGAGGCACATTAACTTGCACCACAGCAAGCAAACCAAAGAAGCTTAAACAGCATGGGTTGAGCCGAAGCGCCCGCAGAATAAACGCAAATATAGGTAGACACAGAGATGGGAAAATAGATAGATAGACAAATAGATAGGTTGAGAGAGAGAGAGAGAGAGAGAGAGAGAGAGAGAGAGAGAGAGAGAGAGAGAGAGAGAAAGAGAGAGAGAGAGAGGTAGATGGAGAGATGGACAGATAGAAGGTAAATACACTTTGAAAAGTCTAGACTTTCCAAAAGTTTGGCCCCATGAAACATCCAGCGCAGCACACTCCGGTGCCAGCCCGGCAAACAGTCCCACGCAGCACACTCCGCAGCCAGCCCCGCAAAAAGTCGAGCGCAGCACACTCCGCAGCCAGCCCCGCAAAAAGTTTAGCGCAGCACACTCCGCAGCCAGCCCCTCGCGAAAAGTCCCGCGCAGCACACTCCGCTGCCAGCCCCTCGAAAAGTCCAGCGCAGCACACTCCGCAGCCAGCCCCTTGAAAAGTCCCGCGCAGCACACTCCGCAGCCAGCCCCTCGAAAAGTCCAGCGCAGCACACTCCGTAGCCAGCCCCGCAAAAAGTCCCGCGCAGCACACTCCGCAGCCGGCCCCTCGAAAAGTCCAGCGCAGCACGCTCAGCAGCCAGCCCCTCGAAAAGTCCCGCGCAGCACACTCCGTAGCCAGCCCCTCGAAAAGTCCAGCGCAGCACACTCCGCCGCAAAAAGTCCCGCGCAGCACACTCCGCAGCCAGCCCCTCGAAAAGTCCAGCGCAGCACGTTCAGCAGCCAGCCCCTCGAAAAGTCCCGCGCAGCACACTCCGTAGCCAGCCCCGCAAAAAGTCCAGCGCAGCACACTCCGCAGCCAGCCCCGCAAAAAGTCCCACGCAGCACAGTCCGCAGCCAGCCCCGCAAAAAGTCCAGCGCAGCACACTCCGCAGCCAGCCCCTTGAAAAGTCCCGCGCAGCACACTCCCGCAAAAAGTCCAGCGCAGAACGCTCCGCAGCCAGCCTTAGCGCAGGACACTCCGCAGCCGCAAAAAGTCCAGCGCAGCGCACCCCGCAGACAGCCCCGCAAAAAGTCCACACAGCACACTCCGCAGCCGGAAGTACAGGAGGGACGGGAGCGAGGCGCAGAAGGAGAGGAGGAGAGGAAGAGGAGGAAGAGGAGGGAGAGAAGGAAGAAGAGGAAGAGGAGGAAGAGGAGGAAGAGGAAGTTGGAGGAAGGCGACGCTGAAATAAAATCTAGAGACCCCCGCCTGACGAAAAAGACTACCTTGGAGGTGGCTTTCCCCGCCTCGTAATTGATCTCCACCAAAGCGGAGGCGATCTGAATGCGCTCCGTGCTGGCGAGGCACTCCAGATCCGGCACGTTCTTCAGGCTCGGCAAAGCGAAGGCTTTCGGGTTGTGTGTGTGGACAGGGGGTCTTGTTGGCTTCCGTTGCAACAAAACAAAAAACGGCACCCACCAAAAAACCACACTCCCGCAAATAAATCCTGATGGTTTTTGCAACTGCGTGTGGTGGGGTATGTTTGCAGAAACCGGAAACATGTTGACGAGGTTGCATGTATGGAATCCCGCGAGCTATCTTAATCAACGGCCTAACCTAGCAGGGGTGCGACAAAGAAAAGCAGCGCTGTAAAAAGGTTGTCGAAAGCAGCAAAATGTCAACCGCAGCGTTTTGGTGCAGTGATGTCCTTGATTTGTGCTTTGCCCTACATGTTTGAGGGGCTGTCACAAAAGCAAACGAGAAAGGCTTCCAAGCTGCGAAGGGCCTGCTGGTTGGGCTTGGAGTTTTCGAGGCTGGCTTTTGACAAGCGCAACATGCGGCACAATGGCATGATGCTACATGTCGTGGCATGTCACTTGCAAAGTGGGAGCTGGCAGCAAGGTGGATCCAAGGTATCACTTTTGCAAGTTGAATGTGGAGACGAATGCCCACTTGCAGAACCAACGTGTTTGTGCAATTTTAGTTAGACAAGTTGGCCTTGTTGTTGGACAATTGGAGCCACAAGGCACGCAGCCGCAATTCCTGCCTTTGGAGAATTATTGTCCGTCAGTTGTATAATTATCTGGTATCGTAAAAACAACATCTTGCAACATGCCTGGGAGCAAGGCATTGACAAACAATCGCTCTGAGCCATTCACTTGTGATGCTGGGAGAGCCTTCAACTCCATTCTTTAGCCGCAATGTTCAGCTTATCATGTTTCACCCACAACCAGCTTGAGTTGCTGTTGGCATTGCGTTGGAAGCCATTCGTGCTTTGTCCACCAGTATCCTGTCACCATGGCCAGCTGCCAGTACACGAGCAGCCTACTTTCCGTGTTCATTCATGAGCATTACACAGTCACCTTAGCAATTAGCGCACCATCACCGCAGCAACTTCTTGCTCAATGTAGCTAACCAGTACTCAGATACCAGTTAAATGACCAACTCCTAAGAGACACCTTTGAACTTGAAACGGTGAGGCCGTTCAGAAAGCATTATGAGTCCTTTCTGGCAAGATGTCCTCAATGCCTGGTTTTCCGAACCACGCCGACGTTCTAGCCTGCTGTTCAAGTGAGCCTTTGTTTGCAAAGTCGTCCAGGCAACGCAGTCTGCAAGTATGCCAGCACCACACTCACAATTATTGTTTTGACTTTTTCGGACAAATAATAAAGCGGAGGGACAGGAACTGGTCTGCTGCGTGCGCTCTGCACATTGCAGCAGTCTGCCACATGGCTAAGCCGGCAGCATTTCGCACCCAAGCGCCACTGGTGATCATGGTGTGTGGCTAATGTGTAAACATTGTAATCGTCGTGGCCAAGGCAAACATGTTCACAACCAAAGCGTAGCCGCTCACTCACCATTCACATTGCTGGCTTTGCAATTTGCAACAAAGCACAGCACTTGGTCACACAAGCATTACGATCCTGTAGCGTGCAACAAACAACACTAGAGGACCGAGCACAACACCGTGCTACGCAATGCAGAAACCAAAGTGTAACCATTCCCTATAACCAAAGTTTGGTGGCATCCCGCAAAAACATGATGTCAATGTTCATAACCAAAGAGTAACCATGCCGTAACGAAAGTTTGGAGGCATTATTCCACCAACATGGGATGATTTTTGCAACCAAAGTGTAATCATTCCAAAACCAAAAGTTGTTGGGTAAAAATGGGGGCGCATTCCGCAATCGACGCGGGACCCTTCCGTAGCCAAAGTGTAACCATTCCGTAACCAAAGTTTGGAGGCATTCCGCAATCGACACGGGACCCTTCCGTAACCAAAGTGTAACCATTCCGAAACCAAAGTTTGGAGGCGTTCCGCAATCGACACGGGACCCTTCCGTAGCCAAAGTGTAACCATTCCGTAACCAACGTTTGGAGGCATTCCGCAATCGACACGGGACCCTTCCGTAACGAAAGTGTCACCTTTCCGTAACCAAAGTTTGGAGGCATTCCGCACTCGACAAGGAACCCTTCCGTAACCAAAGTGTAACCATTCCGTAACCAAGGTTTGGAGGCATTCCGCAATCGACACGGGACCCTTCCGTAACGAAAGTGTCACCATTCCGTAACCAAAGTTTGGAGGCATTCCACAATCGACGCGGGACCCTTCCGTAACCAAAGTGTAACCATTCCGCAACCAAAGTTTGGAGGCATTTCGCAATCGACACGGCACCCTTACGAAACCACAATGTAACCATCGACACGGGACCCTTCCGTAACCAAAGTGTAACCATTCCGTAACCAAAGTTTAGAGGCGTTCCGCAATCGACACGGGAGCCTTCCGTAACCGAAGTGTAACCATTCCGTAACCAAAGTTTGCAGGCATTCCGCACACGGGACCCTTCCGTAACCAAAGTGTAACCATTCCGTAACCAAGGTTTGGAGGCATTTCGCCATCGACACGGGGCCCTTGCGTAACCAAAGTGTAACCATTCCGTAACCAAAGTTTGGGGGCATTCCGCAGCCCGCCATCGACACGGGACCCTTCCGTAACCAAAGTGTAACCATTCCGTAGCCAAAGTTGGGGGGCATTCCGCAATCGACACGGGACCCTTCCGTAACCAAAGTGTAACCATTCCGTAACACGTGAAACCTCAGAGATCCATGCGGATCCATGCACATACCTTCTTTCGCCATTTCCCCGAGGTTGCGGAAGAACAGGAGCAGCTGAAATCCGTTTTTAAGATATTTCATCTTAAGGGCATCATTTTAAAAAATCGCCATGGTTAATAACCGCAACTTTAGCCTTGGGCAACAGGTGGCTATGTAGTAACCAAACTTATTTTTGAGACTGGTTTTTGGCTGTAACCACCACAGTGCCTAAATTTGTGGTTTTAAGATCTAGCATCTTAAAATTGATTCGGGTGGCTAAATAATGGTTTTGACTGGTTACACTTTGGCTACGGGAAGAGTCCCACCTTGGTTGCGGATGCCCCACAACTTTGGTTACGGAATGGTTACACTTTGGTTACGGAAAGGTCCTGCGTCGATTGCGGAATGCCTCCAAACTTTGGTTACGGAATGGTTACACTCTGGTTACGGAAGGGTCCCGTGTCGATAGCGGAATGCCTCCAAACCTTGGTGACGGAATGGTTACACTTTGGTTACGGAAGGGTCCCGAGTCGATTGCGGAATGCCTCCAAACTTTGGTTACAGAATGGATACACTTTGGCTACGGAAGGGTCCCGTGTCGATTGCGGAATGCCTCCAAACTTTAGTCACGGAATGGCTACGCTTTGGTTACGGAATGGTTGCACTTTGGTTACCGAAGGGTCCCGTGTCGATTGCGGAATGCCTCCAAACTTTGGTTACGGAATGGTTACACTTTGGTTACGGAATGGTTACACTTTGGTTGCGGAAGGGTCGCGTGTCGATTGCGGAACGCCTCCAAACTTTGGTTGCGGAATGGTTACACTTTGGTTATACTTTAGTCAGGCCTTCGATTGTGGATTGCTCCAAACTTTGGTCAGATTCGCCAAAGACACTTTGTTTCGGAAGGGGCCGTAGCTCGAGTTGCGGATTGCTCCAACTTTTGGTTACGGAATGGTTAGTTACACTTTGGTTACGGAATGGTTACACGTTTGGTTACGGAAGGGTCCCGTGTCGATTGCGGAATGCTCCAAACCTGGTTACGGAATGGTTACACTTTGGTTACGGAACAGGGTCCCGTGTCGATTGCGGAATGCCTCCAAACTTTGGTTACGGAAAAGGTGACACTTTGGGTTACGGGAAAGGGTCTTCCCCCCCCCCCCCCCCCCCCCCCCCCCCCCCCCCCCCCCCCCCCCCCCCCCCCCCCCCCCCCCCCCCCTCCCCCCCCCCCCCTTTGTGATTGGTTCTCAGACCAAACTTTGGTTACGGAATGGTTACACTTTGGTTACGGAAGGGTCCCGTGTCGATTGCGGAATGCCTCCAAACTTTGGTTACGGAATGGTGACACTTTCGTTACGGAAGGGCCCCGCGTCGTTTATGGCATGCCCCCAAGCTTTGGCTACGGAATTGGTTACCGGAGGAGTCCCACGTTGGTTGCGGAATGCCCCTAACTTTGCTTAGGTTACGGAAAGCTCCCATGTTGGTTGCAGAACGCCTCTAAACTCTCACTACGGATTGGTTACACTTTGGTTACGACAACTGAAAGACCCCTATGTTGTTGCGGGACGCCACCAAACTTTGGTTAAGGAATGGTTACACTTGGTTACTGAATGCTGGCACTTTGGTCACACAAAGGGTTGCAATTGGGTTTCGGAACGTTTGCCATTACAGAGTGGCTACCCTTCAGCTTTAATTTTCGCATTTCATAGTGCGGTGTTGTGCTCGGTCCTAGTATAGTTGCACGCTACAGGATCATAACACTTGTGTGACCAAGTGGCTGTGCTTTGTTGCGAATTGCAACGGCAGCCATGCGAATGGCGAGTGAGCGGCTACGCTTTGGTTGTGAACATGTTCACTTTGGCCATGAAGATGGCAACGTTTACACGGTAGCCACACACCATGATCACACAGTGGCGCGTGGGAGCGGAAACGAGAACAGTCGCGAAACGCTACAGGCTTAGCTGTGTGGCAGACTGCTGCATTATTTGTCCGACAAAAATATTGTGAGTATGGTGATGGCGTACTTGCAGAAAACTTGAACAGCAGGCACTGCTAGAGCGTCGGAGTGGTTCGGAAAAATCACGCATTGAGGAGATCTTGCCAGAAAGGACTCATAATGCTTCTCAAGTTCTAAGATGTCTCTCAGGAATCGGCAGCTTAACTGGTATCTGAGTACAGGTTAGCTACATTGAGCAAGGAGTTGCTGCGGCAATATAGGCTGCTTGTGTACTGGCAGCTGGCCATGGTGACGGGATACTGGCGGACAAAGAAAGCTTGCAGAGCAGATTGCGCGAATGGTTTCCAACGCAATGCCAACAGCAGCTCAAGCTGGTTGTGAGTGAAACATGATCGGGCTGAACATTGCGGCTAAAGAATGCAGTTGAAACTCACCCAGCATTGCAAGCGACAGCCTCAGAGCGATTTTTTGACAATGGCTGATCTTGGTTGGCTGGCGTTGCTTCCAAGCATGCTGCAAAATATTTGTGCACGACACCAAGCATGGTTCATGGGCACTAAACCTCCAAAGGCTGAAATTGCTGCTGCGTGCCTTGAGGGTCCAAGTGTCCAACAACAAGGCCACATTGTCTACGTAACTAAAATGGCGCAAATGAGCTGGTTCTGCAAGTGAGCATTCGTCTCCACATTCAACTGGCAAAAGCAACGTCTTACAAACTGATACCTTGGCTCCAACTCTACACTTTGTTTCTGCCAGCTCCCACTTTGCAAATGACATGCCCCGACATGTAGCATCGTGCCACTGTGCTGCATGTTGCGTTCGTCAAAAGTCAGCCTCCGAAACTCCAAGCCTAACCAACAAACCTTTGGCAGCTTGGAAGTCGTTCTCGCTCGCTTTCATGATAGGCCCCCCCCCGAAAATGTCCATTAAAAGCAAAGCTCAAAGGAAGAACGTTAACGCGGGCCCCGCTTTCCGACTCCTGCTTCGTGAGCAGAAACCGCCATGTTGCTGCTTGCTATCAACGATTGTTTGTTATTGGTCATTTGTCTTTGTCACGATTGGGTTGACCAAGTGTCTTAAGATAGCTCGCGGGAGTCCATAGTTGCATGCTACTTGCGTCACCCCAAAGACATGTGAAGAGTCAAAAGGGCGGTTTCTGCCGTACCTGTTTACAGCAAGGGGACTGTCCTCAACATTCACCGAAACGGTTTCACTGCGGCTCGGGTAACCTGCTCCTGGAGACCTCAAAAAAGGCCTCGCGTCAGGCAAGCTTCTCTACCAGCCAAAAGTCCTGCGATTTGTGGTCATACAGCAAAGGATAGAACAAGAAGCAGTGGCAGCGGTTCACCCACAATGGATGGAAATTGAAGGTTTTCGCTCAGAGGGGTGTGCGAAGTTCTTGCAAATACAGAATGGACCCTTGGTGTTGGCTTGTCAGTCCCAAGAACTGTGGGCCAACTTGCTTGCAATTCTGCGCAAGGCTCGCGTGCCCAGAACCCCAAGTCGTGAAAACGGCCTGCGCAACGTGGAGGCAACTGTTCAGATCTCATAACTCCACAGGCATTGAAAAAACATGCTCGCAAATCGTCTTGCAAAGGACTCGCTAGGGATCACTACGCCTAGTTAAAGAGGTTTTGCACTATGCATGGAGAAGAAAAAGACACTTTGAAGTTTGGTTCTATGAAATGAAGGTCTACTTGCTGTCGGCCAAACCGGGAGCCAACAGGTACACCTTTGAAGTCAAGCGCGATATTGGGTTATCGTTTCACATGATCGTTTCACATGCCAGGTTGGTTTGCTTTGAGTTCATCTCCGAGAGGCTTCATTCCGCACTTTGACCCAGGGAACTCCAGATCCGACGCGGAAGCCGAAAAAGCGTGAGTGTGCAAGGCAAAGTGACTGCAAGCCTCAGCAGAGCCACCAAATGAAACATGTAACAAGCTACAGCTTCGAGGCGCCAACTCACATCTCACGGTGTGAAGTATGTTTCTCAAGCCTTAGGCGGTGTCTCACAACTGGGGCGGCTTTGCGCATTGGGTTTTTGTTGCTTCCTTCAAGGTTCTTGCCATGTTTGGCATGTCGTGCTGATTGAACAAGCCAACTTTGAAGAATTCGGACACAGCAACTGGCGCGAAGCACAACTTGTCCGACACCAAGGCAGGAGGCTCTCACGCAGGTGCCCCCGGCGCCAGTCCAAGGGCTTCGCATCTTTGCCCAGGACTCAAACTTGCTTTGCAAGCGCTCCTCACCGAATGGCGGGTGACCCGTTGACCGCACCTTACTGAGCAACGCTCTTGCAACTCTACAACTCTAACTTTCTAGACGGAGCGCAACCTCGACGTCAGCCGGTGGAAGGATTACCAACCGTGCATCATGTGTCCAAAATGCTACTTGTGCAGGTCAATGGGCCTGTTTGGCACGCCTATCTTTGAGAGCCATGGGTATGTGTTGGGTAGGCCCCGCAATGGACGGCCGTGGGTTGCTCAAAGTTCCAAACCTCCAATCATTTTCCCGAGCGCTTGCTCTTGCGATATCTTTCTGG